CCAAAAAAGGAGAGGTCCCTAAACCCTAAACCCTAAACCCTAAACCCAAAGAGCAGAATATGGCATAGTTTAGCAGAGTATGGCACAGTATATTACGGTATGGTATGGTTTAGCAGAGTATGGCATAGTATATTACGGTATGGTATGGTATAGTATATAGTATAGCAAAGTATGGTATAGTATATTATAGCAAAGTATGGCATAGTTTAGTATAGTATAGTCTAGTATAGTATCGTAGAGTATGGCATAAGTTTTCACAGTAAAGTATAGGATAGTCTGGTCTAGTCTAGTCTCGTCTAGTCTGGCATAGTATAGTTTAGTATAGTAGAGTATAGTGTAGTATCGTACAGTACTCCATTTAATATGGATCCTAATGCAACCTGTCAAGCTGCAAGCAAAACCTGCGGACGCAACTCAAGTGGGTGGTTCTCTCAGTTTGGACCCCTGATAGGGTCCTCGTTTACAGGCGTGCCGCCTTCTTTTTCGTCCCTGAAAACGAACGCTGATTTAGAGAACTACCCAAGTACAAAGACTGCCGGACAAGATGCCGACCGAAGCAAGCCCGAATAAGAAAATCCACACCCTGAGCCCTGAACCCTAGAGCATTTAGGCCGTAAAACCCCTGAAGCCGTAATACCCTTAAGCCCCAAACCCCCTGAAACCCTAAACCCCCCAAAGCCTTAAACAGCTGAAGCCTCATTTAACCCCTAAGCCCCTACACCCTAAATCGCCAAACCCTACACACTGAACCCTTTACGGAACCCTAAACCCCAAACCCCAGACCCTAAAGGATAGTTTTTTTTAATAAAAAACAAAAAAAATTAAAGGAGCGGCCTCAAAGGGGTATCCCATAAATCGGCTCACCGAAACCCTGAAAGTGGCCCCATTAGGGCTTAGGGTTTAGGGTGTAGAAGTTTCCAAAAACACGCCATCGAATCCTATAAATGCTCGCACAAAACACCATAAATCTCAAGAGTCCTTATGAGCCCTCTTGAGACCTAAACCTTCGACCTTAAACCCGAAACCCTAATCCCCCAAACCCTAAACCCTAAGCCCTCAAAACCCTAAGCCCTCAAAACCCTCAAAACCCCAAAGCCCTAAGCCCTAAACCCTAAACCCTGAGCCCTCAAAACCCTAAGCCATAAACCCAAAACCCTGAGCCCCGAACCTTCAAAACCCTAAGCCCTAAACCCTAAACCCTCAACCCTCAAAGCCCTAAAACCTAAACCCTGAACCCCAGAGCCCTAAACCCGAGGAAGCTGAGGAGGCTACCGCTGCAGCCAAGGCAGAGAGCGGAAAAGCGGGGGCCCAGACTGCGTTTCGGGTTTTGCCTTTTTGTGTTTTAGGGTTTAGGGTTTAGGGTTTCGGGTTTAGGGTTTAGGGTTTATGGGTTTCGGGCTTTGCGTTTTTTGTTTTAGAGTGTAGGGTTTATGGTTTATAAGGTTTCAGAAGTTTCGGTTTAGGGGTTTAGGGGGTTCAGGGTTTCGAGTTGTAGAGTTTAGGCTTTAGGGCTTCGGGTTTAGAGTAGTTTGGAGTTAAGGGTCTCGTGCTTTTGAGTTTAGGGTTTTGGGCTTACGAGTTTCGGCATCGGGTTTTAGAGTTCTTTTAGGGTTTAGGGTCTAGGGTTTATGATTTTGGGGGCTGGTTTTGGGTGTACGGATTACTTTCTGGAGTTTCGGGCCTCGTCTTCGTACGCAAAAAATTTGGGGCCTCCATCGTATCTAGCGAATATCCCTTTAAGCTCAGAGTATCGTACTTACGAATTAACATGTATAGTCTCTGCAACTATAACTCACCCCTTTTCTGTTTGTCAAGGCCGTTATGCCAGGGTATCGTACTCATGAACTACATCTAGGCTCCCTATAATAAGCAGGTGTTCTTCTTATTGTCGAGGCCGCTATAGCATCAGCACACCCTGAAGTCCGAGTTGAAATAGATTCAAGCACCTACCAGACAAGCCAAACTACGAACCCACAATGGACCCTAAACCCTGCAACCCTTTCACACCCGTTTGCCATGTACTCAAATACTGGCTCCTTTGGACCCCAAGGTCTAAGCCCTGGCACCTCTTGATAGTCCCTACCGTAAACTCGCATAACAATGTGGCACTGGTCTTGACCCAGTTCTCGTGTACTGGAACCAGTGATATACCTCAACACGACATTGCCTTTCGAAGCATCGGCATCATGCCTGATGGCCACTTGGTGCTGGAGGTGTATTGGGGAAGGTACGATGTCACCTTGCCTGTGGAAAACCGGCTCCCATGTATGCTGGTGACACTTCCTCATCCACAGCAACCACTATGCCTGGAAGACGGTGATGATGATGAGATCACGATCGACTGGGTCATGCTGTGATCGCAAGCAGGCTGTACCAGTCAGAATAGGTCCCTAGCTTGTGTGCGTTTTGTATATGAGCCCCTGCATGTAGACCGTGGACACGAACTGTTACAGCGATACCTCGCCCTCGCACTCTCCTAAGACTCTTAAGATAATGGCTCATATACATGCATGCGGCCAAGGAACCCGGGAATAGCAACATTAAGTTTGTGTGGGTTCTGATTATGAAGCCCCCAATCTAGAATTCGTATAGGTGCCCTGCAAAAAAGTAGGTTTTGGTATGTTCAGGTATGTAGACAAAAATGCTACAATATGCCGAAAGGCCTTGATCCAATTACTAAGGCCCCTAAGCCCTAAACTCTAAACCCACAAACCCTAAGCCTTAAACCCTAAACCCTAAACCCATAAACCCTCAGCCCCCTACCCTGAATCCTAAACCCTAAACTCTAAACCCATAAACCCTAAGCCGTGAACCCTGAACTCTAAACCCATTAACCCTAAGCCCTATACCTTGAACCCTACGCCCTGAACCGGCGTTCTCGCTTCCCTACCAAGGTCTCCGGATGGGTCTTCGTAGTCCTGGCCGCCATAGCCTGCTGCCTAGATATCCCTAAGGGTCCATGTGCCCAAATAGTATACTTGGAGGCCCAGGGAACTTAGTAAGTCGGATATAAGTAGGGTCCGGGTGATAATTGGGGTAGCTCCATTTGGGGTACTTGTAGCACTACTTATAACCTACTTACTAAGTTCCCTGGGCCTCTAAGTACACTTTGGCGCCAAAGTCTTGATATAAAGATGACTCTGTGGCTACAGTATAGACTATTTGAGTGCATGGACCCTTGCCTTAGGGTATGGAAAGGAGTTTAAGTCTCTGCAAAAACGGGGGGGAGTCGGGGTTTAGGGTTTTGGGGCTTAGGATGAACGATTTGAGATTCAGTGTTTTAAGACATCAATGAAGAATACTAGAATGTAGACCGGCATATATAAGAAGGGAGAGCCTTGAAACCGGAAGCCCTCATGAACCCTAAGGTACCCTAAACCCAAAACCCTAAACCGTTTTGCTGAGGTTGCCAAGTCATGGTGGGGGTTTACGCTTGACGGGTTCGGGTCTAGAGTCTCAAGGTGGGTTTAGGGCTTAGGGTTTTAGGGTTTAGGGTTTAGGGTTTTAGGGTTTAGGGTTTAGGGTTTGGGGTTTAGGGTTTAGGGTCTGGGGCTTAGGATGGACAACTATAGATTCAGGGGTGCTTTCTGAGTTTCGCACCCCTATTCTGGGGTGTAGGGTTACAGCTTGGTGGTGTAGGGGTTGAAGAGTGTAGGGTTTTCTGAGGTTAAACAAGCAGATTTGGTGCCTTGCAGAAGCAATGATCGGGTTTGATTCATCAGAGGCATGGACGGGTTTAGGAACCTAAACCCTAAGCCCTAAGCCCTAAGCCCTAAGCCCTAAGCCCTAAGCCCTAAGCCCTAAGCCCTAAGCCCTAAGCCCTAAGCCCTAAGCCCTAAGCCCTAGGCCCTAGGCCCTAGGCCCTAACCCTAAACCCGGAGGATCCTTTTCTAAGACGCCGCAACTCGATTCCCAGGACTCTGATGCAAGCCATGAGACAGGAGACATTGACGAACTGTAGAACCCCAGGCCTTCCAAAATCCCTTACAGTAGGATCCCTTATGGTAAGTTTAAGTTTAGGGTTTAGGGTTTAGGGTTTAGGGTTTAGGGTTTAGGGTTTAGGGTTTAGGGTTTAGGGTCTGGTGCTTAGTAGGGAATGGGGGAATGGGCTATAGGGGACCTTAAAGGACTATCATAGGGATCCATTCCGCCATTCCCTACTAAGCACCAGACAGAGTATGAATTAACTGAGGTGTATTCCCGACTTGCCGTCCCTTCCCGTAATTCAGTTTTCAACGGAAGAGCGCAGAAGTGTGGCACATGCAGGTCAAGCAGAATTTCTAAGTGCAGCCAGTGCAGGGGTCTCAAAACAGTGGTAGATGTTCCTCATTATAGTTCCTGTACCATTACCGTATATGAGACCCCAAACCCTATTCTGAACGTTTGGAGCTCTGAAGACTCTTATGCGTTTCCTTATCGTCCTGTACTTTAACAGATATACTCTTTGATCTGAGACTAAAATATTACAATCACACTACTACCAAATTTGCTCCTTGATCATCAGGGGGGCCTTATGTCAGTTTCATTGCCGGTCTTGAGGGCATCGCCTTCAGTCAGACGGTTTGGCGCGTTTAGGGTTTAGGGTTCAGGGTTTAGGGTCAACCCAAGACTCTACCTCGAAAGCCCATGTGCCCAACCTTCATTAGACGTTCAGGATTTATGGTCGAACCTAGCCTTAAGATGTACCGTTCGAAAGATCAGAGCCCTAACCCGGACAAGCCAAACAACAGCCCTGTACAGTCTCGAAGCCCTAAGCCCTAACGCTCAGGCTCTGGTTTAAGGTTCAGGGTTGAGGGTTTAGGGGACTGGGCCAACCACTTTGCCCCAAAAGTCCCTAAACGTCCACGCGATCTACAGCAGCAAGCTCGAAACCTCTGAAATCCTAAACCCTAAACCCTAAACCCTAAACCCTAAACCCCTAAACCCTAAACCCTAAACCCCTAAACCCTAGACCCTAAACCCTAAACCCTGAACCCTGAACCCTGCACTGCGAGGTCGCCATGGCCCTTGCATCTATCCCGCTGATACCGAAGATAAAGGCTGTGCTGACGGTTTAGGGTTCAGGGTTTAGGGTTTAGGGTTAAGGCCGAGCTCACGGCGGTCAGGGTCAGGGCGTACCTAAAGAGCCTTGAACTATTAGGGAAGCCTCAGTTGGTACTAATAACCGTCCTAAAATTCCACATTGGAACTGCAAATAATATTCTGCCCCGACACCCTATTGTGATATTAAGGGCCATGGATGTGGGTTCTATTTCCGTTGAATGTATATAAAGGGTTCCTGAAGAAGTTAAGGAGAACAGATCTATGAGGAAATTCTTCTGGCTGAGAGGATCTTGCGACTTGGTAAGTAGCGTTATAAATATAAGTAAAGTAAGTACATGGAACTCCTCTTAAGACTTATCAAGTCCCGTGATCCTGTAAGTAGAGCAACGCAGGGTGCAGGGTGTTGGTGTTGTTGGTCTAGTTTGGGCATTTCGGATACTTGGGGATTCGGGTATTCTTGGGGGTGTGGTTTAGGATGGTTGAGTTGAGGCTGGGGATGTTTGCGCTTTGGTGTTTCAGTTTGGGACAGCTTCGGAGCAGATAAAATAGGACGTTTGGTTTTTTGTTTACACCGGCTTGCCGTGGAACTTAAACCCTAATCTTACCGGTCCAAAGGGCCCAGTAACATGGTACTTGGGTTTAAAAGTTTAGGAAACTAACTATGTGGTGTTATTCGAGAGAGTATATGATGATCAGGTGCTTGGACCCTTCTTAGAGGCTTTCGGGACTTAGCAAGTAGGCTATAAGTAGAGTCATGGAGAACCTAAATGGGAGTTACACCAGTTATAACACTACTGATAACCGAATTACTAAACCCTGAGCCCCACCAGCCCCGAGCCCTAAAGCCTCAACCCAGAACTCCAAAAGCCCTGCAACAGAAGCCTGGTGGGGCTAAGTATCTCCTTACAGCCCTCTTGACGGCTATGCCATGTAGATGCCCAGAAAACTGGGCCCTTCTCTAGAGCCATAGGGGGCCCTGAGAGAACCCTTCAAGAGCCTTGTCGCGACCCTTATATATATATATATATTACCTGATCTATTGCCCTTTAGGGTTTATGGTTTAGGGTTTATTCGGGTCTAGACCTTCTTGTATTTAAATATTTTAGTGGCCCTTGTCAAGTAAAACCCTTTTCCAGTTATGAAGGCACTTGCATCACCTTGCGTCGCTCTTTCTGATACAGGCCCAAGACCTTCTTGCAGAAGCCTGAGGATTCGCTTACCCTATTGAAGCTACCAGGGCTCCGCCCTAAACTTGGAACCCGAAACCCTAAACCCTAAATGACCCTATACTCCTAAACACCCGAACCCTTAAACCCTTAAACCCTAAACTCTAAACATTAAATTCTAAACCCTTAAACCCTAAACCCTTAAACCTTAAACCCTTAAACCCTACACCCTCAAACCCTCAAACCCTAAATCCTTAAACCCTAAAACCCTTAAGCCCTTAACCCGCAAACCCCTGACAGGCCGAGCTGGAAAAGCGCAAGGCTGGGGGGAAAGGCAAGGGGCACCTCAGCTCAAATGGAAGTTTGGGGCCTCACTGAGCAGAATACGCTTGAGGGATTTGGGGTTGAGGGGTTTAGTGGTTTAGGGTTTAGGGGTTGAGGGATTTAGGGGGTTTAGTGTTTAGGGGTTGAGGGATTTAGGGTTTGGGGGGGTGTAGGGGTTGAGGTATTTAGGGTTTGGGGGTTGCAGGGTTGAGTGATTTAGGGTTTAGGTGTTGGGGGATTTAGGGTTTAGGGGTTGAGGTTGAGGGATTTTGGGTTCAGGGGTTGAGTGGTTTAGGGTTTAGAGGTTGAGGGATTTCAGGGTTTAGGGGTAGCGGGGTGCTGGGATTTAGGGTTTAGGGGTTGAGGGATTCAGGGTTTAGGGGTTGAGGGATTTAGGGTTTAGGGGTGAGGGATTTATGGTTTAGGGGTTGAGGGATTTAGAGTTGAAGGGTTGAGGGATTTAGGGTTCAGGGGTTGAGTGGTTTAGGGGTGGAGGGATTTACGGTTTAGGGGTTGACCATTTAGGGCCTTACTAAGTAGAATGTTATAAAGAATGCCCTCAGCGATTACCAGTATCATTTTCTGGGTCTCTTATTGGAACTGTACTAGAATATACCCCAGACCCATCTTAAGTTTCTTGAGGCCCCTATATTACGGTTGAGGGAGAAAGAGGTCTGCCATGCTTTTGCCTGGCCCTAGTGTGGCAGATACCTGAAACTAGGTTTGAGGGTCTACGGGTGTAGGATTGAAGCCGGATCTTTGCAGGCAAGAAGGCCAACAAAGCAGCCACCTATAAACACCATGTAGAACTTCGAACACACCCACACACACACACACACACGCGCCAGAGCGCCCCATGTACAGCTGCATAAACATACACACACACACACACACACACACATACATGCATGCATAGACACGCAGAAGCGCATACATGCATGAAGGACAAGTCTGTAACTCCCGACATCACGATAACCTCGACCCCAACGCCAGACACCGGACCCTGTATGGATCCCTTAAGGGATCTATGAAAGTGGTCCAAAATCCGACTCGAAGGAATAGGGGACCAAGTAGGGCTATAAGATGCTAATTATATGTAAGGTACCTCCAGCCACTACTACTTATTACCCCAATTGGAGTGCTTATTGCCGGGACCTTCCAATCTTAATAAGGTTTCTTGTTTAGGGTTTAGGCTTACGTAGGATTTAGGGTTTATAGCGTTCGGGTTTAGAGTTTAAGCCCTTACGGTTTCGGGTTTTGTGCTTTGGTGTCCTCGAAACTAAAACCCTAAACCCCATACCGTAAGCACACTTATCGTGCGGACCTTCCGAAATCCCTCAAGCAAGGCATATACCTTAAATTTTTTAGGGGTCCTAGTAGGATCCCGAACATGATTTAAGGTAGATTCCTCAGCTAAGGCTGGGACATTTTCAGGTGGGTAGTTACCGTTACAGGAGCCTTATAGAAGGTCTATGTACCTTATGGAAGCCCTATAGAAGCCCAAAAAACCCCAAACTCCTCACCTGTAGTTTCCTTTAACTAAGGCTGGGAAGTTTCCCAAGCCATCCAACCTAAACCTTAAAAGCCATCCGAGCCTGCTGTCTCCGAGGTCTGCGGAAGCTGAGCCGAAAGCTGCTGCCAAGGCTTTCCTGCTTTCTTCGTGGCACTTAGAAATAATTCTGATTTCGCGACGGTTTAGGGTTTAGGGCTTAGGGCTTAGAAATAAGTTCTGAAGTTTTGGTTACTATAAATCCGAAGCAGCAACCTGATTTTTTTTAGTGTTGCAAGGGTGCCAAGTTCACCCTAAAACCCTAAAACCCTAAACCCCGAAACCCGAAACCCCAAAACCCTAAACCCTAAACCCTTCAGTATAGTCTTGGCTGTCAGAGGGAAGTCACATGATGCAGGGTTTTGGTTTTTAGGGTTTCGGGTTGGGTTGGTGTTTTGGGGTTGGTGCATCTTCATGATCTTTTTGCAGGTGTTTCAGGCGTTTCCAACGCACTTCTGGAAATGAGGTTCGACAGGGTTTTGTAAGGGTGGTATCGGTTTGGGTGTTTTGAGCTTCTCAGAAATCTCACTTACGGTTTAGGATTTAGGGTTTAGGGTATAAGACTGTACGTAATTATACGGGTTTCGTAAGGGCGGTGGAGTAAAAATCATAGCACCGCACCCAGAGCGATGGCAGTCTGCGTCCTGGCCAAGGGTGCTTCTGGCGAAGCCGACAGTGAGCCACGGTTTAGGGCTTAGGGCTTTAGGGTTTGGGGTTTAGGTTTTAGGTTTTAGGGCAAGACACTGCAACGGCTGGCCGGACTGAAAGTCCTTCACATGACCTCGGCCGACCTCGCGGAGAAGGCTCTAGCTGCGGACTTTGTGAGACCAAGACTGCAGAGTCCAGCCTTGTGACTGCAACGAAAGAGGCGGCCAATGCAGGCATACCGCTGGCAACTTGGCGTTCGCGCTTCGTTGCTGGATATGTGGCTGGCCCTAGCTGGCTTCGAGAATGCCAGCAGCGAGGGAAGCTGCTTGCACCGATCTTGCGGTTGGCACAGGCGTGTGCCATTGAGTGGCAGATCTGCTTCGATGCCTCCTTGGTTCAGCGTACTGTGATCTTGAAGATATTGGCCTCGATCGAGATGCACCCCGAAGGCTATCGCCTCCGGACAAGTCGTGTGGAACGGGCAGAGCTGTCTGAAACTTATAGTTGTTAGTGATTGGCTCATGAGAGCGGTTTACGGTCGCAGAGCCTGCTTTTTTGCGACACCTTAGGTTCAATCTTATGATCAACCCAAGGGCTTCAAAGTCCAAACACTTAAAACAAAGCCGCCCCCGCCCTAAACCCTAAACCTGAGAGCCCTAAACCTTAAACCCTAAGCCCAAAACCTTTCAAACCTGAAAAACTGAAGCCAGGGCGTTGGCGCCCTTGGCTTCAGGGCTTTGGGCTAAGTTTCTGTATAGTGTTCTGGGTTTAGGGCTTAAGGGTTTTGGATTAGGATGCAGGAGTATACATTTCAGATAAGATAGTGTCCCTAAACTTAAAATGTAAGCCCCCGCACCTCCTGGAGGTCTCAACATACCCAGATCTTCCGAAGTCCCTTACTTCAGGAATACACACCTTAAACCATACTAGGCATCCTAAGACAATTTACGCTACAATATTCCTTAAATACAGGATTTTCGCAGGGCTGAGTACCCTAAACCCTAAACCCAGTAGATCTCTTAGAGGACCCCTCAAAGGAATGCTTGCTTGGTTAAGGGATTTTGGAAGATCTGGGTACCCTAAACCCTACAGATCCCTTCAAATAATCCCCCTAAACCCTAAACCCTAGACCCTAAACCCTAATTAATGGTTTGAAAGGAAACTGTAGCTTTGGGAGCTTTCCGTACCCAGGCCAAAGGCAAGGCCAAAGCCAAAGGAGGTGGCAAAGGCCAGAAGGTCTCACCAGCGACACTGCAGGCTGGAAGGGGCTTTGGGTTTAGGGTTTAGGGCGTTTAGGGTTTAGGGTTTTGGGTTTTGGGTTTTGGGTTTTGGGTGTTGGGTTTTGGGTTTAGGGTTTAGGGTTTAGGGCTTAGGGGTTTAGGGTGTTAGGGTTTAGGGTCTTTGGTGGTTTAGGCTCTAGGGCTTCAAAGCTTAGGGTTTAGGGTCTTTGGTGGTTTAGGCTCTATACTAGGGCTTAAAGGCTTTGGGTTTAGGGTCTTTGGTGGTTCAGGGTTTTCGGGTTGGGGTCTTTGGTGGTTTAGGGTCTTAGGGCTTGGGGAGCTGTCGGCGAGCACGTTTTGGTTGATGCTAGATTGTTTAATTCTCTGTGTTCCCGGAGATAGTCTCCTTGAAACAGACATATCCGGCTTAGATTTTGGGCCACTGAAGTTGTTTAATCTGATTATTCAGGCTACGTACTCAGCTATGTTCAATTTGAAGGTAGGGGCTTAGGCCTACAGGCTTTAGGTTATCTAGGGGGTGACCTTGGGAGTTTGAGGAAGTGCTGGGTGAGACCAGGTCGTAAAATCCATTTCAGAGCTTGGGGACCAAAAGTGCATGCCCTAAACCCTAAACCCTAAACTGTACGGGAGATATTCCATGTCAGAGCTTGGGGACCAAAAGTGCGCACATACCCAGACTTGGAGTGTGGTCTTGCAGCGCACCGTGAACCTTGAATCCTGTACTCCATGTTACCCGAAGGGTCCAAGTACCTATTTAGGGGTTAGGGTTTAGGGGTTTGGGGTTTAGGGTTTAGGGTCCAGGTACCTATAATAGTCATATACTCTCCCAAATATTAACCTAAATAACTACTATCCGCAACCAAAGTACCGGATTATTGGGTCCTTTGGACCCTTAGGGTTAGCAAGGGAGTTAACTTAAGCTCTGCGCCGTGCACCTTGAAGACTGAATGGCAGCCCTTAGCCCCGAACTTCAAAGAGCGAAGGAGTGTGTGATGCCATCATGTTGAACCCCAAGAGGCCGAACTATCAGTTTAGGGTTTAGGGTTTGGGTTTAGGGTTTAGGGTTTAGGGTTTAGGGTTTAGGGTTTAGGGTTTAGGGTTTAGGGAGGCCTTGCGCATTATTACCGCTCCATTCCTTGCAATTTGCTATGCCGCTGAAGGCATTGAGTGCTGAACCATGCCCTTCACTTTCATGCTTCGCAGGGTTGATATTTGTGGGGTCAGGGTCCTTGGTAAGGACAAAGCGAGAAAACCTAAACCCTTGACCGTTCTCCTGCGCCTCATGCAGGAACCTGATTAATATACCCTGGGTCTTTATTTCGGGTCCCTAAAGGAATCATAATATTTGTGGGTTAAGGGGCCAGGGTTTCTTAATCAAGTTCCCACATTACCCAAGTCGGTTTCTACTCTACTCCTCCTCGTCGTGCAACTGGGCAAAGACCCCCAGACCGTAAATAGTAAAGCCGTAGTCCCTAGGACCCGAAACTCTAAACGCCCCGACAAACCATTTCCCAGGCCGTCTTGAAGCCAGCTTCTCAGATATTCTTGCGCATCTGCTTCTGAAAGGATCCCTCTGCTGTTTCAGCCGTGTAGGGCTTGAGATTCTGATTTGGGTAACGGAATAACCCACTGGAGAGAGCCTACCGAGACATAGGTTGGAATTAACTATAGTCTATAGTCTATCGGACCTAAGCTTGAGGATAGAACGGCGAGGTTGATTTAGGGTGTAGGGTTTAGGGCCCTACACCCTGAACCCGAAATATTTGCTCATTCAGCAACGGGCGCGGCAGTTGCGGCTGCATTGAGAGGTGCGACGGCCGCAGGTTATGAGAAGGGCCTAGTTACCTGCATCCTCATGTCGTCGGGCGTCGGTGGCTCGTCGACACATTCGGAATACGGAGACTCAGCGTCGTGACCTTGCATCGGTCTGCTCCGGCCAATCCCTAAATGGGTAGGTCTCCATCTAAATTAGGGGTCCCTTTTTAGGGCTCCCTGGAGGGATCTGTAAGGGTTTCTATAGGGTCTCTATAAGGGTACTACAAGGGTTCTATGCGGGTAGATCCGGGACCTTTTTACAAGGGTGCCGTAATATTTTGAGGACTTAAAAAGGGACCCAGATGTAGAGAATTTCACAAATCACGACAGCCAGAAAAGTCAGTGTTCTTAGGAGTTATTTTCTGACAAGATAATGCGGTTTAGGGTTCAGTGTTTATTAAATTCCAAAGGAATTGTTTAGACTGTTTCAGACATCTCTTGTTACTGTGGATCCAAGGGCGCTTAAGAAAACCCCCTAAGCCCGAAAGCCCTTTAAGCCTAGCCCTTAGCCCCCCAGACCCTCTAAACCCTGGACCCTTAAATCCATGAAACCCCATGCGCCCCAAACCCTAAACCCCCCTCAACCGCAAATTCTTGTTATTGCGTAAATGCTAAATCCTAAGAGCTAAAGCCCCTAAGCTTCCTAAACCCCCTAGCCCCCTTATTCCTAAACCCGCCTAAACTTTCAGGGTTTAGGGTTTAGGGTTTAGGGTTTAGGGTTGGACCTAAACCAAACTTTAAGCCCCAAACCCTGAACCCTGAGCCCCAAGCCCCCTAATAAAGACCACCCTAAACCCTAAACCCCAAGGCCACTAACAAAGACCACCCTAAACCCTAAACCCCAAGTCCCCTTATAAAGACCACCCTGAACCCTAAACCCTAACCCTAGACTCTAAACCCTAAACCCTAAACCCTAAACCCCAAGTCCCCACTAATAAAGACCCGACGTCGCTGACCTTTCGAGCTTCCCAAGGATCCAGGCGGTGATCCGCGGCTGGAAGGCACGCCTGGACGTTCATCCGTCAGGGCCGAAGGACAGAAGAGCTTCGGGGTTTCGGATTAGGGTTTAGGGATTTCGGATGGTTTTAGGGATTTCGGATGGTTATAGGGGTTTCGGATGGGTTTAGGGGATTCGGATGGGTTTAGGGGTTTCGGATGGGTTTAGGGGTTTCGGAAGGTTTCAGGGGGTTTCGGATGGGTTTAGGGGTTTCGGATAGGTTTAGAGGTTTCGGATGGGTTAAGGGTTTAGGGCTTTAGGGCTTTAGGGTTTGAGGGTTTTAGGGTTTGAGGGTTTAGGGTTTGAGGGTTTGAGGGTTTTAGGGTTTGAGGGTTTTAGGGATTTAGGGTTCAGGGTTTAGGGTTTTAGGGTTTACAGTTTAGGGAACAGTAATAAGTTCAATATAGGGGCGTTGATAATTACCTATAGCTAAACTATTTTGGGGGTTCCTTATTATGGATATAGTTCCAGCATATGGTATAGTATGCACCAAACTCGTATTCTAATTTCTAAGGCACCTACATTGGGGGTTTAGGGTTCTTGGAAGGGATCTAGAGGGGTTCCTTCAAGG